TTTATTTTGATTAACATTACCAAACGTAGCTTATAGCTTATTAGTAGTTTAAAATAAGCTATAAGCTCCTAAACAAGCTCTGCAAACAGACTCAAAATACACAAAATACACCCAACAATAATATAAATGCACCTAACGATATCATTAGTTGCATGCACTGAGTATGAAAATTATTCAACTCAAAGTTCACCTTTTAAAATTTATGATATTTTTTAAAAAATTTGGTTTAGGGGTTCGCTTTTATATTTAAGAGTTTAGTTTTAGATTTAGTTTTCTAGATTTATCAATAGATATACTATGTAGTTTAATGGAGTTTAGGTGACGAGGGAAACCTACGAGGGTGTGTATTGATGAGTAAACTCCGCGTTATGATCTTAGTTGACAAATGACCACATAGAGGTAAATTACAATTGGTTGCTCAATATTGATCGGCTCAAACCAAGAAGGCCAATTAGATCATTCTCGTTGAGAGTTAAACTTATAATTAATCCAGTTAACAAATTGACCAACTTAGATGGATTTACCCTATACTATACATGTAAAGAGTTTAAATTAAGAATTTAAGAGAGCGTTTAAATTATTAGGAAAATTTTTATGAATTTTATTAAAGTCTATGAAAATCTATACGTCAAACATACTTTTACTGACTTTTGAATACTTTTTCGTTGAGTTTCTACAATATTCTTACCCCAAAGACTGAATCCCCAGCCCTAAGGGCCCCACCTCCGACCCGACAGAGCTTGTGGGAGGATGTAAATTGTTGGTTTTGGTTTTCGGGCCCAAGGAGGTCCAACACAACCTTGGTCGGTGGATTCACCTTTCACATGATGTTTATAGAAAAATAAGTAGAAAAATATAACTCAATGCTTTTGTACGTGGAAACCGAAAGGTGAAAACCACGGGCCTTTTTGGGCGGTGACAAGCCTAATTCCACTATGTATTTTGTAGGTGTCTTTGTACATACTTGTAGGGCTATTCTCTACACAAAGTGTTGTGTTTCTAATAATATAGCAATAATAATATAAGAAGAGTGATGGAATGGTGTGGAAGAGTCCTTCCATTTGTATGGATGAGTGGTGGAGCCTTCTTGGTATGTTGTGGAATGAGGCCTTCTTGGGAGAGTAGTTGTGGGAGAGTGATAGTAGTCTTCAAGTGTGTAGGAAGAGTGCTTGGGAGAGTCCTCCTATATGTGTGTATGAGTGAGTGGATCCCCCCCCCCCTTTCTTCTTGTCTTCTCCTCTTTTTATAGCTAGCCCATCCCAAAAGTGTCCGTTGGACCATTTAGTAGGGTAGTTAATAGGTATTAACTTGGTTATTAGGGGTAATAAGTGGGAGACTTAATAGGTAGCCTTTATTTGGGGGTTATGGATGAGGTAGATAAATAGGACTTTTAAGGGTAGATAATTAGGAATAACGGCTAGTTAGTCCAACCTCTTACCCGTGCCGACCTCCGGTCGAGCCGACTCCCGGGCCAACCGACTCCTCGGTTTGGCTCGTATCTCTTTTGGCTTGCTCCATTTTCTTCTTGGGCTTCCCTTCTTTGTCTGGGCTTTATCTCTTTTCTTCTTGGGCCCCGAGCCACGGGGTTCACACCCCATCATAAATCACGGTGACTCAATGGGTTAGTAGGCAGGGCAAATGCCGGTGCGCACAAGGAATCTGCCCACTTTGGACATAATTCCCACACTGCCGCCGCCGAGGTTCGAACCTTGGTTTCTACAATATTCTAAAATAGTACTCCGTATCATAGCTATTTATTAAGACGTGTAGTATTTCATTGTTGGTGCCTTGGTGAGAAATGATTTAATTGGTGATTTTAATTCATCGGTCTTGATTGATTTAGAGATTTGAAATTTATTTTAGAATTGTAATCTTAATAATTGAATATTTTACTTCATAATTTCTTTTAAAAAAACGTAAATGTACTTTTTTTCTTTTTATACAAATAAAATTAATATATAAAAAATATATTATTACCCAACTCTAATTGAGATCTTTTAAATGACATTGATATTAATTTTTTTTTTATATTTTTAAGTAACCTAATTTACACTGACAATGATTTAATATAATTATAGCTTAATTAAAAAAAAAAAACAAAAAAAAACCAATATTTCTATTTTTTTAAATAAAAATATCATTTAAAATTTTTAATGATATATTTTTATACTATTAATTTTATTTTTTAAAAAAGTAATAAAAATGAATTTAGAGAGAAAATATTAATTTGTTAAAAATTCATAAGATGTTTTTATCTTAACTAGCACGAATACCAAAGTCCAAATTGAATACTATTTTACTTTTTTTAATTTGTTTAGAAGTTTAAATCAAATAGTATTAGGACTTGTAAAAATTTGAATAGAATAATTCCAAAATTGTAAAGAAGTTTCTAAAAGTTTGGATCCCATACAACTTAGAATTCGGCAACCCTAACAAAGCTACATTGGTTTTGGCCCAAAGCTTAATAAAGACGCTATTTATTGTTTCCTTTCATCTTCAAGAACCCAACCCAAAACTCTGAATAATTGAATATTTTACTTCATAATTTCTTTTAAAAAACTTAAATGTACTTTTTTTCTTTTTATACAAATAAAATTAATATATAAAAAATATATTATTACCCAACTCTAATTGAGATCTTTTAAATGACATTGATATTAATTTTTTTTATATTTTTAAGTAACCTAAATTTACACTGACAGTGATTTAATATAATTATAGCTTAATTAAAAAAAAACAAAAAAAAACAATATTTCTATTTTTTAAATAAAAATATCATTTAAAATTTTTAATGATATATTTTTATACTATTAATTTTATTTTTTAAAAAAGTAATAAAAATGAATTTAGAGAGAAAATATTAATTTGTTAAAAATTCATAAGATGTTTTTATCTTAACTAGCACGAATACCAAAGTCCAAATTGAATACTATTTTACTTTTTTAATTTGTTTAGAAGTTTAAATCAAATAGTATTAGGACTTGTAAAAATTTGAATAGAATAATTCCAAAATTGTAAAGAAGTTTCTAAAAGTTTGGATCCCATACAACTTAGAATTCGGCAACCCTAACAAAGCTACATTGGTTTTGGCCCCAAAGCTTAATAAAGACGCTATTTATTGTTTCCTTTCATCTTCAAGAACCCAACCCAAAACTCTGAATAATTGAATATTTTACTTCATAATTTCTTTTAAAAAAACTTAAATGTACTTTTTTTCTTTTTATACAAATAAAATTAATATATAAAAATATATTATTACCCAACTCTAATTGAGATCTTTTAAATGACATTGATATTAATTTTTTTTTTATATTTTTTAAGTAACCTAAATTTACACTGACAGTGATTTAAATAATTATAGCTTAATTAAAAAAAAACAAAAAAAAAACCAATATTTCTATTTTTTTAAATAAAAATATCATTTAAAATTTTTAATGATATATTTTTATACTATTAATTTTATTTTTTTAAAAAGTAATAAAAATGAATTTAGAGAGAAAATATTAATTTGTTAAAAATTCATAAGATGTTTTTATCTTAACTAGCACGAATACCAAAGTCCAAATTGAATACTATTTTACTTTTTTTAATTTGTTTAGAAGTTTAAATCAAATAGTATTAGGACTTGTAAAAATTGAATAGAATAATTCCAAAAATTGTAAAGAAGTTTCTAAAAGTTTGATCCCATACAACTTAGAATTCGGCAACCCTAACAAAGCTACATTGGTTTTGGCCCCAAAGCTTAATAAAGACGCTATTTATTGTTTCCTTTCATCTTCCAAGAACCCAACCCAAAACTCTGAATATAATAATCTGCAATATAATTCTGCTCCGATCACTTGCTTTTCTCTGTTTTCTTGCAATGGAGCTGATTCCCGGTCTTCCCAACGACTTAGCTTTTGAATGTCTTATTCGGATTTCGTTTGATCAGTTTCCCAAGGCTTCATCTGTATGTAGAGCATGGAAAGCTGTGATTAAGCAGCCGGAGTTCCTCCGGCGCCGGAAAGCTTCTGGTCTAACCCGACCTGTCATTGCCATCTGTCAGTCAAGGTTTAGTTTAAGCAGATTGGATACAGTGGGTTTCCGGCTCACGCTATTCGACCCGGTGAAAAGGCGTTGGCATGATTTTCCGCCGATACCGGAGGTGGTGGAAAGGATGCCGGTGTTATGTAGCGTGGTCGGTATTGGGGCGGAGCTGGCGGTGATAGGGGGGTGCGATCCGGTGACACGGCGGTATCTGAATTCAGTTTTCATCTACAACTTCTTCTCCGCCACGTGGAGGCGCGGCGCCGATATGCCAGGCGAGGACCGCCTGTTCTTCGGATGTGCGGCGTCGGAGGATGGCGGGACAGTGGTGGTCGCCGGCGGACGGAGCTCGACCACTACCTTAGCGCTGAAATCAACGTTGGCGTACGACGTGGCAAGGGACACGTGGACGACGTTGAGTGAGACTTTTATTATTTTCAGTGAATTACGGATTCTTTTTTATTTTCATGTTTTACTGCTAACTTTTTTACTGATTATTATTAGTATTAATTAATCAGTGAATTTAATATTCCGTGAATTAAGGATCTTTTATTTTTCCTATTTTACTACTAACTTTTTTACTGATTATTATTTGTATTATTAATTAGTAACTTTTTTCTTTCTTTATTCTATTAATACTATCATCTTCATATTCCTAATCATCCATTTTAATTTGTAAGAAATCAGGATACCACATCAAACTGGAAACTACCACATTAAGATACCACATCCATTTTATTATTATTATTATTATTATTATTATTATTATTATTATTATTATTATTATTATTAATATTAATTTAATTCCATATCCATATTATTATTAATTAGTAATTTTTTTATAGAATTTTCCTTTTTTACTGGTATCATTATTATGGCCTTTTTTTTTTTGTTTGGCAATCTTGCATTTCCTTTTCTATTTTCAATTAATTAAGAATTCTTTTTATTTTTTTTCCTATTTTATTGATTATTATTAGTTTTAATTATTCAGTGAATTACAGATTCTTTTTTATTTTCATGTTTTACTGCTAACTTTTTTACTAATTATTATTAGTATTAATTAATCAGTGAATTTAATATTCCGTGAATTAAGGATCTTTTTTTCCTATTTTACTACTAACTTTTTTACTGATTATTATTTGTATTATTAATTAGTAATTTTTTTCTTTCTTTATTCTTTGGGCAGGAATGCAAGGAATGAGGATTTTGTTTTTAAAAGAGTATAGATAGACTATAGAATTTTATAAATATATTTCTTAATAATAAAAGTTCAATTACATTATATGATTTTTACATAAAATAAAAAAACATGTAACAATATATAGACTTTATAGTAAATATGAAGATATGCTAAAATAAAAATTACCTAATTAAAAAAAATTAATTTTTTTTCATGCCTCAACATAATCACATGTTATTTTCATCTATAATCAAATCCATATTCACCTTCATTTTTTTTTAAAAAATACTGTCATCTATTCATCTTCATTTTCTAATCATCTATTTTAATTTGTAGGAAATCAGGATAACACATCAAACTGGAAACTACATAAGAGGATTTTATTTTTATTAATAGTATACATTATTATTATTATTATTATTATTATTATTATTATTATTATTATTATTAATTTAATTCAATATCCTTATTATTATTAATTAGTAATTTTTTATATGATTTTTCTTTTTTACTTGTATCTTTATTATGACATTTTTTTCCACAATCTTGCCTTTCCTTTTTCATTTTCAATGAATTAAGGAATCTTTTTTATTTTCCTATTTTACTGATTGTTAGTAGTATTAATTAATCATTGAATTATGTTTCCTTTTCTATTTTTAGTGAATTACAGATTTTTTTATTTCTTATTTTACTGCTAACTTTTTTACTAATTATTGTTAGTATAAATTAATCAATGAATTTTATTTTCTTTTCTATTTTCCTTGAATTGAGGATCTTTTTTTATTTTACTATTTTACTGCTAACTTTTTTACTGATTATTATTATAGTGTTATTAATTAGTAACTTTTTGCCTTTTCTATTCTTTCGGTGGGAATGCAAGCAAGGAGGATTTTGTTTTTAATAAGAGTATAGATAAACTATAGAAATTATATAAATGTATATCTTAATAATAAAAATTCAATTACATTATATATGATTTTTACATAAAATAGAAAAACATGTTACAATATATAGACTTTATAGTAAATAGTAAGATATGCTAAAATAAAAATTACTTAATTACAAAAAATATTTATTTTCATGCCTCAGCATAATCACATATTATTTTCATCTATAATCAAATTCATATTTACCTTCTTTTTTTTTTTTTTTTTTTGAATACTATCATCTTCATTTTCCTAATCATCTATTTTAATTTGTAGGAAATCAAGAAACTACTTCAAATGTAAACTATATAGGAGGATTTTATTTTCATTAATAATAATAATAATAATAATATTATTATTATTATTATTATTATTATTATTATTGTTATTATTTTTAATTTAATTTCATATCGTTATTATTATTAATTAGTAATTTTTTATAGGATTTTCCTTTTTTACTGGTATCTTTATTATGACCTTTTTTTTTGCACAATCTTGTCTTTCCTTTTTCATTTTCAATGAATTAAGGATCCTTTTATATTTTCCTATTTTACTTATTATTATTAATATTAATTAATCAGTGAATGCTATTTACTTTTCCATTTTTAAAGAATTGCGTATTTTTTTTTATTTTCTTATTTTTGTGCTAACTTTTTTTACTGATTAATCAGTGAATTTCATTTACTTTTCCATTTTCCATGAATTAAGGATTTTTTTTATATTTTACTGCTAACTTTTTTAATGATTATTATTACTATTATTATTTTTCATCTATAATCAAAACCATATTCACCTACATTTTTTTTTTTTTTGAATACTATCACCTTCATTTTCCTAATCATCAATTTTTATTTGTAAGAAATCGGGATACTACTTCAAACTGGAGTATGTATTATGATATGAGAGTTCCATTATATTCTATAACATTTCTTATACATTAATTACACATGGGATACTAAATAATATCTTTAATGTATGTTTGGACCTACATGTGCAATAGTGAACAAACCCAAGAGTTAGAGATAGATGAACACAAGTAAATTCAAACTCATCATATAAAAAAAATCAATTTCCGGTTCGGCAAAGCGCTTCGTTGCCTATGAGGAGAAGAGTTTGATTTCTGATAAGGAAAACGCCGGTCCTTCCTTGCTGTCGGAAAATTAAGAAATCAGCTTTGTAGTCAATGTTACCAGGGTCTCCATCAACGCCCAATCCGTTGGATCCTTCGGCACTAAAAACACTTCAAGCTACAATTGCAAAAATAATAATAATAATAATAATAATAATAATAATAATAATAATAATAATAATAATAATAATAATAATAATAATCTTGAAAATTGTATAAAAAAATACTTACGTTTTTATGAGTGCAACACCAAGATATGATTCCACAGAGAGAACAGAAATTAAAGAAGATGAAAACAGTGCAAAAGGAAAAATTATGATTTCCAAACTCACCAATCCATTATATTTATAGGTAGAAAATATGAGAATTATGATTATATTAACCTAATTTACTACACAGAATTTACTTTTTAAATGTATGTATACACCTAAATTTAATTTACTTTATATAATGTATGTATACACGTAAATTTCTTAATACTTTACTTTACCAATTACCTAATATATATTATTCATACACCTAATATATATTATTACTTAATACTTGATATCTCTTAATCTTGTATATAATTTCTAACCTAATATATATTATTACTTAATCTGCACATGGAATAATCCCTTGATCTTATATATAATTTCTTTAATTTACTTAATCTGCACATGGAATATCCCTTAAAATCTTATATATAATTTCTTTAATTAATTAAATTTAGATATTACACAATGCCCCTAAATTTTGGAGAGAAAATTTGTGAAGGGGGATTTTACTTTTATAAATATATAGATATAGATTTTATTTTATACTTGAACAATAATATTTTTATTATACTTGAACAATAATATTATCAATTATATTATATTATAGAATATAATACCATATATAATATTACCAATTAATAGATTTTATTTAATTTTCATTTGACAATTACTTACCAAATAAGTTTTACTACAAAAGTTTTGGGGGGAAAATTTGTTAGGAGAATTTTACTTTTATATATATATATATATATATATATATATATATATATATATATATAGATATATAGATTATAATAAGAATTCGAATGTAGAATTATAATACAAATAAGAAAATAGAAAACAATATATTCTATTAGAATTGTATTACACTATTCTATTAGAGATAGTATTACACTATTTTACAATATTATAATAAGAATTCGAATGTAGAATTATAATAAAATAAGAAAATAGAAAACAATATATTCTATTAGAATTGTATTACACTATTCTGTTAGAGATAGTATTACACTATTTTACAATATTATAATAAGAATTCGAATGTAGAATTATAATACAAATAAGAAAATAGAAAATAATATATTCTATTAGAATTGTATTACACTATTCTATTAGAGATAATATTACACTATTTTACAATATTATAATAAGAATTCGAATGTAGAATTATAATACAAATAAGAAAATAAAAAACAATATATTCTATTAGAATTGCATTACACTATTTTACAATATTATAATAAGAATTCGAATGTAGAATATAATACAAATAAGAAAATAGAAAACAATATATTCTATTAGAATTGCATTACACTATTTTACAATATTATAATAAGAATTCGAATGTAGAATTATAATACAAATAAGAAAATAGAAAACAATATATTCTATTAGAATTGTATTACACTATATTCTATTAGAGATAGTATTACACTATTTTACAATATTATAATAAGAATTCGAATGTAGAATTATAATACAAATAAGAAAATAGAAAACAATATATTCTATTAGAATTGCATTACACTATTTTACAATATTATAATAAGAATTCGAATGTAGAATTATATACAAATAAGAAAATAGAAAACAATATATTCTATTAGAATTGTATTAGAGATAATATTACACTATTTTACAATATTATAATAAGAATTCGAATGTAGAATTATAATACAAATAAGAAAATAGAAAACAATATATTCTATTAGAATTGTATTACACTATTCTATTAGAGATTATATTACACTATTTTACAATATATTATAATAAGAATTCAAATGTAGAATCTACAAATCTAATAAGAGCGAATAATGTTAGGCCCTTAACTGGAACAAAAAAAATGTCGGTACTGATTGTTTCTTAAAATGAATGGTTCATATTATTTTGATTTTAGTATCTTTTAATGATTTTCCTTATTTACCCTCTATTATATTATTTTCTTCCCTTAAATAACCCTAAATTCCGTTAGTTTAAACTTTAGTAACGGAATATTCCGTTAACTATTTATTATTCTTAACATACTCTTAATTTATATAAGGTCTTAGGTTCGAACCTCATCCCAAGTATAATTGACATAATTGTTAAACATATATTCCGTTAACTATTTATTATTCTTAACATACTCTTAATTTATATAAGGTCTTAGGTTCGAACCTCATCCCAAGTATAATTGACATAATTGTTAAACATATATTATGAATATGTTAAAATGTATTAAAAAAATATATAATATAAAATTTAACATAAACTTTGGTCAAATAATTAGCTCGACTAAATACATAGCATTCAAAGTTGAGCATCAAATATTATAAATCAGGAACTACTTTAAAATTATTTGATTTTCTTGAATTTTTTATTAAAAAAAAACAAATTTATGTTAAGTTTTTTTTTTTAAAATTAATCTTCTTCTGATTATTTAGAACAAAACTTAATATTTCAATTATGATTTTGCATTATTGGAATGATTTAGGCCATTATGGTATTAATATTTTTTTTTTGTATTTTTTTTTTATAATGGTACAATTGTACATTACATTACTAATATTATACTATTATTTTTTTATCGGACAATGTTCTTATATCATTGTCAGACCTGCGCGGCCTAACTACAAAGTTGTTGATCATAAATACAATTACACATGGACTCTAAAACGGTAGGATCATTTTTCAAATAATTGACAATGTTAACATCCTACTAGCTCCAATTGAACAAGTTTACACATCAAAATTTTATCAATGCATGAAAACTTCTAAAAAAATTTGTAAGTTAATTTTTACTATACCATTATATTAATATCTACTGTAACCATATATTTTGAATTATTTATTATCATCCTCTATTAACAGCAATTGTAGCAATTGTTATGGACAAACTCACAAAACAATTTGTCTCAACAAGGAATGGAAATTAAAAAAAAAAATCATTGATTTCATTATTGTTGAAGAAAAGTATGTACGACACATTATTACTCTTATTAATTAAATAAATTAGTTGCTACAACAAAAAACAATACATATGCATTTAATTAATTTAGAATTAGATGTACAAAGTGGACAAAACCCCAAGAGAATTACAGCAAGATCAATGTTGATGGCAGTGTACACCCTCAATGCTCCACGGCAGGCTGCGGAGGACTTGCAAGAGACAGTTCTGGAAAATGGATTGGAGGATTCACTAGCAATATTGGCTCTTGTCCTCCACTTATGGCGGAGGCTTGGGCAGCTCTAAGAGGCATCCAACTCGCCAAAGCTCTTGATCTCCAACAGGTTATTTTGGAAAGCGACTCCAAGGCCATTGTTGATGGTATCACTTCCAACTCTCTACCAAACTCCCTGGTACACAACCTTCTGGCCACCTGCAGACGCGAATTGCAGGGTATAAGAGATTGGAGAATTGCTTGGATACCTCGTGAACAAAATGCCACGGCGGATGCTCTGGCGAAATTAGCAGTCTCTCGTCCTCGTGGCATCCACATACTACCTAATCCTCCAACAGAAATCGTTCCTTACTTAGAATACGATTGCAGCTCTTTTTTCCTTTGGCGATATTTCGCAATATAAATAAACTCTTGTACTTTTACTTCTTCATAAATATATGGGTAACACCCTTCCTTTGGATTAAAAAAAAATTTAGAATTAGATGTCTATAATGCTTTATTTAAAAAAAAAATTATTCATTATAAAAAAATTTTAAAAAAATATAATTTCATTAGTTATATTATCTTTATTTTCTACAATTCAAAGATTCCTTACCTTCAAATTTATTAATTTATTATATTCACTACATTGTTCATTGTGTTCTTTTTTACATTATCTTGTAATTAAATATCAAAGTTATAATACAAAACATGTTATATATATATATATATATATATATATTTATTTATTTATTTATTTATTTATTTATTTACCAAGCATTTTATACAAATATAATAAATATTAATATTTCGTTCAATACTTTCACATGATAACCTGCGACACACATCTCACAACACATGAAACATGTAGGAAAAAAACTACCACTACTAAATATCAATAGGTGTTTGTACGCTAAAGAGTTCATATTACAACTAAAATCTCAGTCATATACACAACAAAGTAAATCTAAAACTTCCTACACCATAATCTCATTGCGTGATGAATCCCTCTATGCTGCTACCAGTAACCTAATTGCACATGAAACACTATCAATAAAAAAATAAAAAAATAAAAGAAAAAGAAAAAAAGAGGACATGTACTGAAGATGAAACAATAAAAATGCTACCCAAAAAAGAATTAAGAAGAATTAGAGAAATTTAAACCAAAAGTAGTATTTATTTAGACTATCGCTTTAAAACTAAGTATTTAGACTAGCGCTATTACAAAGTTGCAAACATTTATTTTAGTGACAATTATAAGCAATCTCTCATATATTATCTTGCATTTATATATTTTAAATTACTGATTTAAATAAACAAATTCAACATTTATTTACATATGCATGAAAATCTCCTATATAATATTGCATTGATATACTTTGGAATACTTATTTAAAAATAATTATTGGGCATTATCTCATTCGCACAAAGTGCGTAAAAAACTAGTTATAATACAAATAAGAAAATAGAAAACAATATATTCTATTAGAATTACATTACACTATTTTACCGCAAACCACGTAGATTTGTACAACATAAACCATAGATAATTTATGCAATCAATTGCACACAGAAGAACGAGAATTTAGAAAGGAAATTAACTAATCATTATTTATTTATATATATTATAAAGCAAGTATTGCTTCTTTCCCCCACAAAAAAATAAATAAATAATAATAATAATAAAATTAAAAAAAAAAAACAAAAACTTAGTATTGTACTAATTCCAAAATTGTAAAGTTTATAAAAGTTTGGATCCCATACAACTTACAATTCGTAAAAGTTTGGATCCCATACAACTTACAATTCGCCAACCCTAACAAAGCTACTATACATTGGTATTTATTGTTTCCTTTCATCTTCAAGAATCCAAACCTCTGAAATATAATTCTGCTCCGATCTGTTTTCTTTCAATGGAGCTGATTCCCGGTCTTCCCAACGACGTAGCTCATGAATGTCTTATTCGGATTTCGTTTGATCAGTTATCCAAGGCTGCATCTGTGTGTAGAGCATGGAACGCTGTGATTAAACAGCCGGAGTTCCGCCGGCGCCGGAAAGCTTCTGCTCTAACCCGACCTGTCATTGTCATGGCTCAGAGAATGGATGGTTTAAGAGAATCGGATCCGTCGTTTTACCGGCTCACGCTATTCGAGCCGGTGAAAAGGCGTTGGCGCAATTTTCCGCCGATACCGGAGATGGCGGAACGGATGCCGGTGTACTGTAGCGTAGTAGGAATTGGAACGGAGGTGGCGGTGATAGGCGGTTTCCACCCGGTTACACGGCAGCATCTGAATTCAGTTTTCATCTACAACTTCTTATCCGCCACGTGGAGGCGCGGCGCCGATATGCCATGCAAGGGTCGCGCGTTCTTCGGATGCGCGGCATCGGCGGCGGACGACGGGACAGTGGTGGTCGCCGGCGGTGTGAACTTGGGCAACAGCGTGTTGAAATCAGCGTTGGCGTACGACGTGGCAAGGGACACGTGGACAACCTTGTCGGACATGTCATTTGGGCGAATCGAGTGCACGTGTGTGTTCCACCGTAGCAAGTTTCACGTACTCGGCGGCTTTTAACGATCCACATGACTTGGATTCCAAACAACCTGCCGAAACACTCGACCTTGTAACCCGACAATGGTGCCTAAGCGACATAGTCACAGATTATGAGATCATATCGAAGCGAGATATTTACGTGGAGGTTGGAGGGATATTATACACAATTAAGGAAAGACATGACGTGATTGCATTAGAGGACGCCACATGGGTGTTTGTCGCTCGGGTCCCAATCTACACATCTAGCGTGGTATATGTGACAGGGTGGCCGGGGAAGATTATGGTGATTATTGGAAATACAAAATATGGTGCAGCTAAGAGAGCTTATGTGCTGGAATTGAAAACTAAGAAATGGACCAAAGTACAAATCCCAAGTGAGTATCGTGGAAATGTTCAATCCAGTTGTTGTATACACATCTAAAAAGGAACAATTTTATTTTGCCCTTAAATTAGTGTGACAAACACTCTTTTTTCTTTTCTTTTTTGAATACATTTGTCTTAATTAGATGATTGAGATTCAATTATTTACAATGCGTTACATTTCGTGTTTACAATATATTTTGGAAAGAATATATATGGTCTCAAAGTGAAAATGTGATGCATTTCAATTGTTTTAAGTTTCTATTAGAGATTTGTACAAAACAAAATGTGACATTGAAAGTTATGCATTAAACGTGGCAAAAATAATTCCGTTAAGTAAACCAACTACCAAGGAAAACGCTTTCGGAGATCGAGATTGTTTTTCATCGAAAAAGAAGAAGGCCGAGGATATGCCGATGACATCAAGATTATTACCATTCCATTTAAGTAAGAGAATTAAATTTGATAGATATTAAATTGGAGATATTTCATAAAAATAAATAAATAATATACTTTGGAGAATTTTAGACCCTTATTAATTTAAACAAGTAATCTTTTTTTTTTACCATTCAAGTTAAGAGAATTAAATTTGATAGATATTAAATTGGAGATATTTCATAAAAATAAATAAATAATATACTTTGGAGAATTTTAGACCCATATTAATTTAAACTAGTAATTTTTATTACATTGTAGTATCTGTTCATATACTTCTCAATCTACTGAAACACAAAGAACCAATAACGTCTCCGAGACAACCCATGTATCATATGATGTCATAAATATCATGTACTCTTTTTCTCAGCTAAGTTTTACCAATGTATCATATGATGTCATAAATATCATGTACTCTTTTCTCAGCTAAGTTTTTTTACACATAATTTTCCTAGTGAGGTTTTAACGAGGCATGAATATTTTTAAATATAATATCCATATACCTTGTGTTTTTCTTGTCTAGGTTTTTTTCCATAGGGTTTTCTAAAAAAATTTTTAATAAGACAAAGCGGTGGTCAAATAATGTCCAAAGGGGAGTGTTATAATATTTCATTTATTATGGATAATATTATTGGATTTGTAAGAACATCTGTAACATTATGTCATTTAGTAAAATACTTAATGATTATACATGTATATATATTCACATATTGGAATAATAGAGGTGCGGTTATGTGTGGCTTATTTGTATTCTTCATCTTTTCTCTACCTTCTTTATCTACATTTCCATTGATCAATATGTTTGAGCCAATAGGCTGATTACAACAAAAAATTAATATGATTAAATTTTTTAAAGGATACACTGTGATCTTGTGTGGCACTGTAAATTATACTCTATAATAAAAAAAATATTTAATATGATTTTAGACGTACGTGATAATCAAGATAAAATAATGAATGAGTGTAAGAATGAATGAAGATGTGGCACATGAATTAGTTTCTAATTTATTGTACTTGTGTAGTTATATGTATGTTTTGTTATGTAATTTTAAAGTTCAAGTGAGATATGTATAAGTGTCAATTGTAACTGAGCAGCTGAGCTCGTAATACAATTGGCACTTGCACACATCTCACTTGAACTTTAAAATTGCATAACATGCATGTAACTACACAAACACAATAAATTAGAAATTAATTTATGAGAGATGTAGGTGTTTGAGTGAGGTGTGTACTAGTATCAATTGTAATAAAGAAATCGGAGTTGGAAGTATCTCAAGGCAATAATAATACGGTGTAACAATATAATACGGAGAGAGAAAGAGAAGAGTTGGTCTTGTAAGTTAGATTTTTTTTTTCCCAGTGAGTATGCGTGAAAATAATAATAATAATAATAATAATAATAATAATAATAATAATAATAATAATAATAATAATAATAAGTAAAGGACCTTGTGGTCCAATGGCATCAAATTGAATTCTACCTGAGAGATTGTGGGTTTGAGTCTCAGGCGCTATTGATTCTTTGTGTTTCGTGCGTCAATTTGCAAATTAGGCAATTTGTTTATATGCCAGGTAGCTTAGAGTGGTTTATTGGATTAATGAAAAATAAATTTATTATGTTATTTGGAATAAAAAAAATTTAATAGTGTTATATTGTATTACGAATATAAATTTGAATGTAAAATTGTGAATAGGAATGTTGGAAACAATATTTTCTCTTAGGCAGCTCATTTGTTAATTAGGCAATTTGTTTATATGCCAGGCAGCTCAGAGTGGTTTATTGGATTAATGAAAAATAATTTTATTATGTTATTTGGAATAAAAATTTTAATAGTGTTGTATCGTATTACGAATATAAATTTGAATGTAAAATTGTGAATAAGAATGTTGGAAACAATATATTCTCTTAGCTAGGCAGCTCATTTGTTAATTAGGCAATTTGTTTATATGCCAGGTAGCTTAGAGTGGTTTATTGGATTAATGAAAAAATAATTTTATTATGTTATTTGGAATAAAAATTTTAATAGTGTTGTATTGTATTACGAATATAAATTTGAATGTAAAATTGCGAATAGGAATGTTGGAAACAGTATATTCTCTTAGAGGGTGTTGGGAATGTAAGATTACCTTGTGTGTTTGGTTTGGATGATGTAATATAATATTACCTTGTTTGGTTCAAGGTTATATTTTAGGTTATATGGATCAATTTACAATAATGTCCTCATATATATATATATATATATATATATATATATATATATATATATATATATATATATATAGGCTCCGGATCCCATGAGGTCACATAGATAGATGAGATCATGATGAGATCTCATCTCATCCATTATTTCATTAAATAGAGATGGGTGAGATTGAAAAAGATTTGCAATGTAATTAAGGTAGTATTTTAAAAATAAGAGTAGAGAAGTAATTGTAATATTTATGTTATTTTTGGCAATAAAATGTAATATTTAGCATCAAAATATAGGAACTATGAATGGTAATACTCATGAGTAATCTATTTTGTTAGTAGTAAAACAACCGTGAGCATAGAAGATTGAAGGAGACATGTTTCCTGGGGTCGTGAATGGCAACTACGTCCACATGTATGTGCATTTGGCCTTGTTTTCAATTGGAT